CTGGGATTACAGGTGTGGCCACCGCACCCAGCACTACTACAAGTTTAAAGAGCACAAAACGCAAAATTTCAAAACCCACAACTTCACAAAGTTCAAATCAGAACAAAAGCTTCACATGAAGAAAGGTCGAGAGAAGAGACTAGACCAGGAGTCCTGGTGGCCTCTGGGGGTCACCTACCCAGGGCTGTGGCGCCTACTCCCGGCACTGTGGGAGGTGGCTGCTTGCGGCCTTGGCTCTGCTCGGGCCACAACCTCCCTCAGAAGCAAGCACGACCCCTTAAAGCCCCTTCTCATGGCGCAGAACACCAGGGCGGAGCAGGAGGGCCCAGAGGCAGCCACATACTCTGGGACCCTTGGAAGCAGCAGCTGCTCCAGATGGGGTTTCCAAGGAGCGGGCGGAGCCTGTCAGGCCGCCCTGCCCTTCCCTGTCTGTCACTCCCTGGAGCCCTGGATGCACAGCAGGGGCATCCAGGGTCAAGAGTGAAAACTATGCCATGGGCGGAGGGGACAGGGGGCCCACCACCAGCCTTCACTGAGCCATCCACTGTGGCAACAAGGACAGCTATGTCAACGGGGACTCTCGGCCTGGGGCTCTGGGGGAGCGAGGGGGCGTGGCCCTTGCAGGCAGAGAGAATCAAAGCCCAAGGCTCAGAGGCACACACGGCCGCCTGTCCCTTGCCTTTGGTGTGGGCTTGGTGTGCTGCCCTGAGGAGGACATGCTGCCCTCCAAAGTGAAATGGCACCCACCCTGAGCAGCAGGGACAGCAGGTCTTCAGAGTGAGCCCAGCACTCGAAGACGCTGTCCAGGGTCTCGATGTACCAGGAGCCGCTCGAGGTGTCCCTCCAGGAGACGAAACCTGCGGGAAGAGGAGACTGAGCTCCACTGGAGAGCTGCCGGGGCCACCTCCAGACTGGGGCCCATCTGCTTGTAGCGGAAGGAGCCACGTCCCCGTGGCCCTGTACACCGGTGACCTCACTTCAACCTGGTGATCACCTCCTGAGCCTGGCTGCGACTGTTTTCCCAGCAAGGAAACCGAGGCTCTGAGAGCCCAACAACACGGGGGAGAGGACACGTCTCAGCCCTTCCTCCCTCCTGTGTGACAGGCACTGTGCTCCATGATGCGCCAGCTCCTTGGATGATCCCCAAGAACCCCAAGGTAGGATTACTATTCCCATTTTAAAGTGGAGGAGGCTGAGGCAGAGCTGGGGGAGGGTGAGGCAGAAGCGCCCCAACCCAGTGGCTGTGCACCTCAGGCATCTCACCCACTTCGCCCTGAGCTGAGGCTCAGAGAAGTGAAGTAACTTGCTTGGGGGTCACAGAAGCAGCAAGGTTCAGAACCAGGACCTCACAGCATGGCTGCCTGTGGGCCAGATGGGAAGACCCCCAGGGATGTGCTCACCTGGGAAGGTCGAATAGGACACAAGGATGTCACTGGGTGTGGGCAAACTCGACACTGCATCCAGCTCGTCAGAGGTCCTCGGGCCTTCCTGGAAGGGGACAGCGTCTGGCTCAGGGTTGCTGCCAGAGGCCCTGTCTCCAGAAGAAGCGTGGGCCACCATAAACCCATGGTCTTTCTGCTCTGCAGGAAGCAGAAACAAGCACTCATCACCAAGACACACAGAAGAAAAGCCTTGGCCCTGAAGGCTTCGCTGGTGAATTACACTGAACGTTTAAAGGGAAATTAACACCAATCCTCAAACTTTTCCAAAAAATTAAGAGGAAATACTCTCTAACTCATTCTCCAAGGCCAGCATTCCCCTGATATTAAAGCCAGGTGCTAAGATATGATGATATAACTGCAGACTAATAGTCCTTATGCACATTGCTGCAAAAGACCTCAATAAAATAACTAGCAAGTCAAATTCAGCAGCACAGTAAAGAGATCACACACCATGGCCAAGGGGGAGTTACTCCTGGAATGCAAGGATGGCTCAGCACTGAAAACCAATCCGTGTAACCCAGCACACCAACAGAATGGAGAGAAACTACATGACCCTCTCCCATGACACAGAAAAAAACATTATAAAACAAACAACCTTTCATGATAAAAACACAACAAACTAAGGACAGACGGAAACTACCTGAATATGATAAAAGCCATGTGAGATCAGCAGAATAAAGGAAAGGGACCCAGAGGGTGAGAAGATGGAAGGGGGGAGTGACATTAGCCAAATTACATTGTATTTTGTGCACACGAATATATAATAACAAACCCCACCATTATGCACAAGTAATATACCAATTAAAAAGGTCTGAAAACAAAAAAGCCACATGTGAAGAACCCACAGTGAACATGGTACTCAATGGTGAAGACTGAAAGCTTTTCCTCCAAGGTCAGAAACAAGGCAGGAATGACTGCTTTTGCCATTGCAATGCAACATGGTACTAGAAACTCTAACCAGAGTAATTAGGCAAGAAAAGGAAAAGGCGTCCTGTGTAGAAACTTCCTCTGTTCACAGAAGGCTTGATCTAATTAAGTAGAAAACCCTGAAGATTACACCAAGAAAACTGTTGGGACTGATAAAGATGAAATCAGCAAAGGAGCAGGGTACAAGTCAGCACACACACACGTGCAATGAACTATATACCGAATAATGAACAATCAGGGAAGAAAATTATGAAACCAATTCTAGCATCAAAACAAAAAGTTAGGAATTAACCAGTGAAAACTACAAAACACTACTGAAATAAATTAAAAACAGGGCTGGGGCTATAGCTCAGTGGTAGAACGCTTGCCTCGAATGCATGAAGTACTGGGTTCAATTCTCACCACTACATATAAATAAATAAAAATAAAGGACCATTAACAACTGAAAAAAATT